CTGGAGGCCCCAGCGCACGGCAAGCTCGGGTCGAGACGACCCCGGCGCTGACTTCTGACACCGCATGCATCGTTCCACCTGGAACGATCGGCGACTCTTCGATCGCCAGATCGCTCCATGTTTCGGGGGCGCGCAAACATGGATTAGCGATCCATGGATTTGGCGCGCGGTCGCCAAATCCGTGGATCGCGGCCGCCCAGTGGCGGAAATCCTCGATTTCCCGTGGGAACGGGACCCGTGGCTAATCCACGCCCCCCTGATCCATGTTTGCGATCGCCTGAAAGTTGGACGACTCCGGACCACCAGCGGCGGGTCTCCACCGGGAACGCCTGCGGCAGGGCCGCTGCCGCGTCGACACGGCACGAGCCTTCCGCATCGAGGGATGTGCCCGGCGGCAGGCTCGCAACCAGCTGCACGCAGCAGATTTTGTACCCCCTGGTTCCTGATCCCCCCCCCCTTCGTCCGACCCGAGAAAGAGGAGGCCGGGGTGTGAGGAGGGGAGGAGGGAAAGAGCAGGAAGGATGGCCAGGGTGTGAATAGCGCGGGAGTGCAAGAGCAGAAAAATGGAGGATGGAGGAGGGGAGGAGGGGGGGGGGGGGCGGGGGGGCGCGGGGAGGGCGAGGCGGAGGAAGGGGGAGAGGGGGGAGCGGGGGGAGGGGGAGCGAGGGGAACTGTGGAGCGCAGAAGAGGAGACAGAGGAGGAGGAGAGGGAGGAGGGGTGGGAGCGGAGGAGGAGCCGTTCGGTACGTCGCTGAAGGCCAGGCCGTTCGAGGGCGACACAAACCCTGGCCACTTGAAGTACTCGGGCACGATATCCGCTGCCGCGCCCCTTGGCGCAGTGGTGGAGGGCGGGACGTGCCTGCCCGCTGGCCGCTGGGCTTCCCGCGCTCTCCCAGGGGCGGATCCCCCCCGGCGGACTGCGAGCTTGACAGGGGACAACAGGGGTGGACAGCCCACGCGCGGGCAGGCGTTCCTCGAAGATTCTCCTCCTCCTCCTCCTCATCCTCCTCCTCCTCCTCCTCCTCCTCCTCCTCCTCCTCCTCCTCCTCCTCCTCCTCCTCCTCCTCCTCCTCCTCCTCCTCCTCCTCCTCCTCCTACGCTCCTGACGTCCCTTCCCACTCCTCGCCATCCCTCCTCCTTGTCCTCCTCCCTCTCCTCCTCCTCGTCGTCGTCCTCCTCCTCCTCCTCGAGAACACGGGAGTGTGGGGCACCCTTGGTCACAGCCACTGGGGCATTCGGTGGGGCTCGTCGAAGGCATGGGCGATCGGCGCCCCGACGCCCTCGCGGCGCCCTTCATCGGGGGGGGGGGCGGCGGCCTCCCTGGGGGGGGGCTGTCCTGGGGCGCGTGTGGGGCTCGCCGGGGCGCCTCGGGCCTGCCTCCGGGGCCGCGTGGCGTGCTGCACCCACCTCTGGAGCAGGCCTCGGGCCACCCCCCGACGACGACGACGACGACGACGACGACGACGACGACGACGACGACGACGACGACGACGACGACGACGACGACGACGACGACGACGACGACGACGACGGCGACGGCGACGGCGACGGCGACGGCGACTGCGACGGCGACGGCGACGGCGACGGCGACGGCGACGGCGACGGCGACGGCGACGGCGACGGCGACGCCGACGCCGACGCCGACGCCGACGGCGACGGCGACGGCGGCGGCCGGGACCCGCCTCTGGGGCAGGTCTCGGGCCACCCCCTTGGCGCTGCTGGGTGGCCGGAGAGGGGGGGCGGGGGAGAGCGTCGGCAGCCGAGGCGTCTCAGGAGGCGCGAGGGTTTTTGACAGGTCCCGCCGCCTTCCGAAAAGCCTTGCCCCCTCCCAGTTCCCGCCTGGGCTCGCCCCCGAGCTAGGTCCGCGGGCGCGAAGATCATGGCGCTTCGCGCGTCGCGGACTGGGTCCGAGTGGTTGTCCTTCTCCAAACAGAACATGCGGATGTTTAGTACGCTTGCTTGAAGAAAAGCGCGCGTTGCTCCCTGTTCATTCAGAAACCCTATGATCCAAAACCTTGCCACTGTTTGTATATATCTATATAAATATATACATAAGTAGACAGGGAGAGAGAGAGAGAGAGAGAGAGACAGACAGACAGACAGACAGACAGACAGACAGACAGACAGACAGACAGACAGACAGACAGACAGACGGACAGACAGACAGACAGACAGACAGACAGAAAGACAGACTGAGAAACAGACAGACAGACAGACAGACAGAAAGAATGAGAGAGAGAAGGAGAGAGAAAAGGAGAGAGCGCCCGCGCGGTTCATGGGCGCCTGGGTGAAAAAACAAAAAAACATGTTCCCCGAACACGACACCTTGAGAACTGCATCCCCCATTTCACACGGAGGACGAAGACGACAACGACGAGATCGACGACGACGACGACGACGACGACAACAACGACAAGCAAGGACGACGAAGACGACGACGACGGCGGCGGCCTTAACGAAGGCGGCGGCGGCAGCGGCGACGACGACGACGACGACGACAACGACGAAGGTTGCGACGAAGGCTACGGCAGCGGCGGCAGCAGCGACAACGGTCGGGCGGTCCAGACGCGTCGTCGTCGTGCGGGCGGGACGCGTCGTCGTGGGCGAATCGGCCGGGCGGGCAGGCGGAACACATCATCGTCGCGTGCCGGCGCCAAAAACGGGGGGAAGTGGGGGGGCAGGTCCTCGGCGCGCCGACCGGCGTCGGCACGCAGACCGTCTGGCGTTGCTCGGAGTCCTGTTCATCCCGGACGCTCGACGTTGGGGTCCTCTTGGGCTTCCGCTGGGGGGTCTACGGGGGCCCTCCTGGGATGGGAACCTCTTGGGGGTCTTTCGTGAGCCTTGGAGGGTTTTTTGGGGGCCATCCTGGTTGCCATCGATCAAAAATGGGGGGCTTAGATTTTGGAGGAGGGTTTTAGATTTTGCCCCCCCGAATGGGACCGTCAAGATCGCCGCTGGGGGCGCTTTGGGGGCCTGATGGGGCGCTCTGGGGCACTTTGGGGGCCGTCATTACGGGGGGCCTTTTGAAATCCCCTTGGGCGTCTATTGGGCCATCTTGAGGCGATTTCTAGCGCAGCGAAAATGGAAAAAAGAGAAACAACACATAAATTAATTTCTTGCGGTTTTTGGCAGTTTTGGGCCAGGGGGCTCCAGAAGGACTTGGAACCATCTTGTGGTCTTGCTCGGGCCTCTTGGAAGTATGTCGGAAGCTATATCGAACCATCGCCGTCTATCTCGAACCAGTTTGAAAGTCATATTGGACCATCGGGGGCCTCTTAGAGCCAAGTTGGGACATGTTGGGCGCGCTGACGCGTCGCGAAACCCAAAAAAACCTCGGGGGGCGAACCTCCCGGAGGGGGAAAAGTTCTTGGAAAAGGAAAGAGAAATCGCTAGACCATCTTAAGCCAAAGGGCTGGTGGGATTTGCATACGATTCTGCCCCATCGCTCACCTTGCTAAATATTCATATCATCCCAAGGGCGACCCTTTTTTATCGACACCCCCCATCACCACGGCCAATTGATACAATGCGCGCACACTCCTCGATCACGAATTATTCACTTTCAAGAACCCCTTACACACAACGCGTCAACGCCGACACACACGCGTCGTCGCGCGGATGCCAACATGATTCAAAAACTTTCGGCCTTGTGAACAATACAAAATCGAATGTCAAAAAGCAGATAAACACAATGGTTGTTGCAACTTTGTTTCAACCACAACATACGCATAGAGACACACAGACACAACCACACACACACACACACACACACACGCTTGTTTGACTGTTTTGTTTCGCGGCCCTGCGCGAAGCGACAGGGCGTAGAAGGTCAAAAAGCCACAACCGCGCGCGCGCGACTGAGCCCGCCCGGGCCCTCAAAGCCACTCAGGTCCAGCAGCGGCAGACACAACCATCCGAGACTGGATGGCGGGGGGGGGGCGGTGACGGACCGGACTAGTGTGAGGTGCGAGGTGCCATAAGCCAAGCGGGACTGGGAGGTAGGGAAAGCGAACAAGCAGTGGACCGACAAGGAGAACGAGGCCGACGTGGAGGCCCGCAAAAGCAGTGAATGGACGGGACTACGGCGAGCAGGTGCCAAAAGCCAACTAGAGGAAGGCGGGGGGCGCAGAGAAGCGGAGCGGAAAGGCAAGGAGGCCTTGGCAGGCCCGACAGCAAAAGCGGCGCGGAGCCGCAAACGTCGCAGGCTGCAAAGTTGCGACACACACACGCGCATACATACATAAATACACACACTCACACACACGCACCCACACATCCGCCCGATGAAAACCCAGCCTGCGTCCTGCTGCGACATCGCGATGTCGCCCACGGTGTTTTCCGAGCCGTTGGGCGTGATCGCGTCTCCACGGCGGCTGGCGCTGGTGGCCTCCACGAGCACCCACGCGTGCCCGGGCCCAGCCGGCGCGGGCAGAACAGCGCCGCCGGCGCCACGGGGGCCGCGGACACCCCAAGCGCCGCCACCGCGACAAGGGCGGCGGCAGCCGCGCCGACCCCCCCCCCGCGCCATCGGCGGCCGCCGCGGAGGCCCCGCCGGGGGCAGCAGCGCCAGCAGCCGCGAAGTCGAACTGCAGGTAGGCTCCACCCGGCGGGACAAGCAGAGACCGCCTGGCCGCGCGCTCCCTGTCGAAGTACAAGCCTTCGGCCACCTCGACGGCGCGTCTCCGATGGCCCCCGTCTCCGCGACGTTCGGCCCCCAGCGGAACCGATACAGCAGGTTCGGGTCCGCGGTATGCAGCACCTGGCGCGTGGGGCAAAACACCACAGCGACGATGTCGACCGAGCCAGGTGCGTAGCTCTCCAGGTACACGTCATGGTTTGGGATTAAATCAACATGTCCAGGGGCTAAGTAGTGATCCCCGCCCCCTGAGTCGCCAACCTGCCCCAGATCCTCCGTCGATGACACAGCTGCTCGCCTCAATATAGGTAGCACCCATGCCCAGGGTAGGACGCCGGCGGGCGGGGCCACTAGGATGGCCATCTCCGCGACGAAGGGGAGAACGCACCGCTTTGAAAAGACCTCGGTTCAGCTGGATGGCCGCCAGCAGGACGTGGACGACGAGCCAGGCGAGCCAGCTCAGATCCCACCCTTCAGCGGCATCCGCGGGCGGCGGCGAGGGGCCCGAGGCCCGCGGTTCCGCGGGCGCCGGCTGAGGGGCCGCGCGCGCCGGCGCCAGGAAAGTCAGAGGCTGCTCTGACGCCCGGCAACGAACCTCCCCGCACGAGAGGTTCGGGCAGACCGCCGCCGGGCAAGCGAGGGCAGCAGGACAGGAGGTCGCCGCAGGACACGGCGGAACTCGCGCGAACCAGGCCGCCAGCAGGTTGGACGCCACGCCGAGGAGGACCACGGAGGCTTTGCTCACCATCTAGGATCGCCTGAACAGACACACCAGCCTGCCTAGAAAAATGGCTTGAGCATAGATGCCCCCGCCCCGCCCCGATCCCCATGCACGGCAAATAGAATATATGGCACGCCATGGCCATACATACATACCCACACTATGCCGAACCACCCACAGAAGTTCCGAGACCCCCGACGGGCCCACAAGAGGCCCCAGCTAAGCCCCCCAGAGACCTCCAAAATGAAGAAAGAGGAGAGCCTGGTTGCGGACAAAGACGGAGCGTTTGAGACCCGCGCCAGGCCAGATAGGGCACTGAGCTGAAACGGATCTTGAACTCAACCTCTCTCCTGCTGGGCTGCTGCGCTGCTGCGCTGCTCGCTGCTGCGCTGCTGCGACAGCGCGGTGGCGGATCTTGCCGCAAGCAGCTGGATAACCAATGCATGCGATCATGGATACGCGGCCGTGCTTGATCTCGGTCATGCGGCGGCGCCTGAAAGCCTCGGCGTCCCCGTCCTGAGAGGTCCCCGCTACGACTGCCAGTCGAAGCCCTGACTCCCTTACGGAAAGGACAACACTCGGGTCGACACTGGGCTCCGAGGGAGCTGTTCCAATGCTGCTGGGCCGCGCCCGAGCACTGACCTGACCAGTCAGCTGTGGAGCTGCCGCCTCAGGGCCACAGCGAGCCAGGTCATTACTCGGCCGACCAGCCACAACTGAGAGAGCTGTGTTTTTCACCCCCTCTGGAGTGACCCATCATATCGACAATCTCTCCAGGGGGGTCTCGAAACCGATGGGGCCCCAAGCTGGTCAAGGACCACAGCTCCCCCAGCTGTTGCTGGTCTGCTAGGGCCCCCTAGCCACCCCCTGGAGAGGCTCGGCCGACCCCAACGCTGACCGGACCCTTGTTGGATCCCGAAGCCCTCTCCCCCTCCTCTCCCTCCTCCTCCCTCATCCTCCTCCTCCTCCTCCTCCTCCTCCTCCTCCTCCTCCTCCTCCTCCTCCTCCTCCTCCTCCTCCTCATTGTTCCTCTCCAGCAGGCGGCGGGAGAGTTCGAGTACCACTGATCGCGCTTCCGGGGGGCACGGAGCGCGAGGTTCCCAGACCCCCTCGGGTCATGGAAAAAAAAAATCACGACGGGAAGGTCATCGCTGTGTTCGGTCTCCGGGGGCCCCTGCCGGGCTCCGGGAGCGTCAAAAAAATCAACTCCGTATCAAAAACCAGTCCAGGGGAATGGGTCGAGAAGCCCACGGGTCGACGTTTTAAAACAAATCATGACCTCGTGGGTCGCGGGGGTGGGGAGGGAGGCGCGCGCCAGGGGCCAGAGCCAGCGATGCAATTAGGCGGCGGCAACCGAACCCTACGTACCTCCATCAACCACTGGTTTTCCTGAATCGATGGGAGGTGGGGGTCGGGTTCGGGTTTTGCTACGTGTTCGACGCATGCCGAACCCTACCCCCACCGCCCTTCGAGTTGACGGAATCGTGGATCGGGCAGCGTCCGGCTCGGATTTCGCCGCGAAGCAGTGGACGCGAGAGCGCCAATAGGCATTGGGGGGGAACGGCTGCACTGGTCGTAGCGAGGGCCTTTGGCATGAAGCAGGGGGGCCCACAGGGAAACGGGCACTGGATCGCAGGGCCACTGCCCGGCACCAGCTTTCCATGCTCAGGCGTTCTCTCACGGCCACGGGGCCAGTGAAGGGCCGTAGGGCGCCACGAAACGACGAAAAACCTCCTGAACCCGTTTCCCTCAGAACCCCTTGGCTTCGTGACGATGTCGTCCTGGCTGTACCCGGCCGGGTCCCAGTAGCCCACTGGAGCCTGCACTCCCAGCTCGTTCTCGAAAGCGCGGAGCGGGGAGTCGCTGTAGAGGGCCCAATCACCCCACGCCGAGCCGGTCAGGCCGTCCTGACACAGGGGAGGAGGAGGAGGAGGAGGAGGAGGAGGAGGAGGAGGAGGAGGAGGAGGAGGAGGAGGAGGAAGAGGAGGAGGAGGAGGAGGAGGAGCAGAAGAAGGAGAAGGAGGAGCAGGAGGAGGAGGAGGAGGAGAAGGAGGAGGAGGAGAAGGAGGAGGGAGGAGGATGAGAAAAGGACGAGAAAAGGGGGAGGAGGGAGGAGAAAAGGAGGAGAAAAGTAGGAGAAAAGCATGAAGAGGAGGAGGAGGAGGAAGAGGAGGAGGAGGAGGAGGAAGGCCGTTTGCGGGAACCCCATAACCCACACTCGCCCCCGGAACCGCGCCAGGCTTCGCGCGCGCGCCACGCGAAGTGCCGGCCTCAAGCCCGCGAGGCCGCGGGCGCGCGATGGCGCCCAGGCGGCCGCGGGCGGGTCGCGTTAATTAAGCTGCCCAAACGCGAGGCGGCGCAGGCGCGGCGCGCGGCAGACTCCGCCGCGTTGGGCCCCACAGCGGCCCGCCGCGCTGCGCGCGCCGCAGGCGCCCGAGCCAGCAGCGCGACGGCCGGCGCCTTCCAGCACGACGGCGTGGTCGCGAAGACCGCCTACCGGAGCCACTGTGACTTGGTGGCGAGCCTGCACCAGGCCAGGGGAGCCTGCAAAGACCGCGGGAGCCGGTCGCAGCCCGACGGCACCGAGCCGAGCGTACAGGCGGCCGATACGACAGAGGATAGGCGCGAGGAATGTCGCGTGGAGACCAGGTACGTCGTGATAGAATTTGCGACCCAGCACGGTACCTACGACGAGATCAACAAAAAAAACACGACGAGTCCGACACCCACGTCGAGATCGATGCCTACCAAGGCATCGCCGCCTAGAACGAGCTCGAAGCCTAGGACGTGCTGCGCTTGCCGGAAGTCCTTCCAGCGCCTAACCCAGTGACAGACCACGTGGACGGCACCTGGGCGGTGGCCGCGGCCGACGGCCAATGGGCCTTGCCCCCTTGGGCGCTACTTCCCGAGCCGACCCGGGCGCGAGCACAAAAAACAGTGTAAAGATGGAACCCCCCCGTAGGTGTCCCCTCGGCGACCCCCCCTACAGAGCCCTTTGGGCCACGTCGCCAAGAACCCCTGCATCGTCGACACGGTAGGATCCACCTGGAAATCCTGGACAGGACGCCCAGCCTGAGAATACCGAGAAGGCGCCGGAGGACAACGGGCCTGCAGCGGGTCGAGTACGGGCAGTGGACTGCGTGCCAGCAGAAGACCAGCGACCAGCAGTGGACCAGCCACCACCAGCAGATCAGCGGCCAGCAAAGGATCAGCGACCATTGGACCGGGTACCAGCAAAGATACAAATACCAGCAGAGAATCAGCGACCAGCGGAGGACCAACGACCGGCAGTGGACCGCGTCACAGCGGCGGTTCAGCGACCAGCCGCGGATCGAGTACCAGCAGTCAAGCTAGTACCAGCAGACGATCAGCGACATGCAGGGGATCGTGGACCAGCAGAGGATCGCGTTCGGCCGTCAGCATAGGACAGCGTACCAGCAGTGGAGCGAGCACCAGCAGAAGATCTGCAACAACCAGCGGATCAACGACAGGCAGGGACAGCGTACCAGTTTGGGACCAGCGATCAGCGGTGGAGCTTCGACCAGGAGCGGATCAGTGACCAGCGCCCAATTAGTGACCAGCAGCCGAGCGTGTACCAACAGGAGACCAGCGACCAGCAGCTGCTCAGGGACCCGCAGCGGATCAGCGACCTGCAGTGGGTCAGCGATCAGCAGTGGACCACAGACTAGCAGTGGATCGAGCCAGACCCAATCGCCGTGCCGGACCCGATCAACCTCCCCGACGGGCGGGCTAGCGCGCAGGACACGTCCGGCAAGCCGCACTACACCCGCAGGGTCACGCACCAGACGCGGCGGTCGCCACCACTACCTGAAGACGCGGTACAACAATAAGCCCCCCTACCACGAGGCTGCACAAGATACCTCGACCAGCAGGGGCGACGCTACTACCACCACGCGGCCAAGAACAAGACGCAGTGGACCCCGCCGTGCAACAGGCCCGCCGATTCGACCCTTCGGGGTTGCCTCAAGAAGCCGCCACGCCACGGAGGCATGGAGGAAGAACGCGCCGACAAGAACGACGAAGACGGCAACGACGGGCACGACAAGTACGCAGAGAGCGACGAGCAGAGCAAGCCACTCATCATGCACCCCGTGTTGGCACGCGGGGGTCGGGCGGACAATCGCGAAGCTCTGCACTATCTGCTTTTCATTATGAATCAGAAAGCCTTGAGCCACATCAGCAATGGTAACACAAGACGCATACGCATAAGTGTACAAGTGCAAGCAACACAGACAGACAGAAAGAGGGCGCAGGAACATGTGTCAACAGCTCCCCTGAATTACCGTCGATCTGACTGTCTACATGACTGCACACGGAGATCCCTGGACGCCAGGTAGCGCCGACTGGCCTCCTTGCTACGGTGCTGCTTGGCACCAGCGGCGGCCAGGGCATCTCGCTCCTCTTCCGCGTCGCTCAGGGCCAAGATCCCTGTCCAGAACCAAGGAAAGAGCCTCGGAACCCTTGGCAACGTCAGCCGTGGCCACGATGTCGGCAGGGCCCACAGGTGAGGCATCCATCGGGCACAGGAACTGCGAGCAGCAAAACAAAGTCCCTGATGATGGCTAGATCGCCAGAAGACCGACGATCCTCCTTGCGGCATGCACAATCTTTCGGTAGTGAATCGAGAATCGATTTGGCGTCTAGAGCGTGCACCCCTGGGAAAGGATTCTGAAGCTCACAAGAGCGTCTCAGCACAAAAACAAAAGGGCCCACATCCCGACGCCAGTCGAAGGAGGGTTCCACGCCAAAACGGGCACGGCGAAGCAACAGCTGGATCCTCTCCAACTCTGCCACGGCCTGACACAAAGAGTGAGCATCGCCTGCTAGAGGAGTTGGCGGCACGCTTCATCCTGGAGAACCTCCAGGAAAGTGTAGAGACACGAGTGGGTTGGCCGGTGGCAAACCGAAGGCCTGCAATCCCAGCGAGCCAAGCGTTCTGCACCGGACCTTCTGATCCTTCACCAGCGGCATCGCTGGCTGTCACGGCCACCACCTGACTCAGATCGTGCCTCCAAACTGCGAGACACTGAGCTGCGACGTGCCTCATGAGCTGCACTGCCTTGTTGTGCATGAACACATCCTGGATAGTAGCATGGTTCAGACTGCTTGCCAAAGCGGAAGCCGCCACTGATATCTCTGGTCGAGACTCCTCGGCAACCCAGCTCAGTCGGTGCACTCCTGAGCGAAGCAATGCGAACTCAACAGAGGATAAGGGGCTCTGTCTCTGAGACCTGCGGCCGCGATCGAGAGGCACAGTCTTGAGTTCCTCGAGAATAGAAAAGCACAGACTTCAGTTCCTCGAGAATCTACTTCTCTTGGTCGACACGGATGCGGCGTCGTTCCTCGCGCGCCCGCCTGCCAGCAAACTCGGCCTCGCCTCCGCGACGCTTGCCGAAGGCGAAGCGGCCCTGGAGGCTCTCGTGCAACCACTTCGCGCGACTAGAGAGTGAGCCGAGCCACAGGCCATCGACGTCGATCAGCACCTGCGCCACCAGTTGGTCCTTCTCGCGCTTCGTCCAGTAGCAGGGCCCGAGCAGCAGCTTACGAAATCCCAGGTCGGACAGGAAGGATGTGGAAAATACGTGCCATTCCCACGGCGCGTCGTCTAGTCCGCACACCGCCACCACGAGACCTATCAGGCAGCCCTCGGGAACGCTTACTCCAGCGAGACCATCGCAGGGGGCCACGTAGATCGGTCCACCCGAACGCTTCGAACAGCGGACGGGACTGGCTGAACGCATTCTCGCAGTCCACGATGGCCTGCCCCACGTCGCAGGACAACAGAACAATGGCGAAGATCAGCATGGACTCCGACTGCGGCGTCGGGGAGCAGGTGATCAGCTTCTCGGCGTCTGGATCTCAGACCGCGCACGCACCAGCGACTCTTAGCCTTCTCGGCGCTGAAGGTGCCTTCCTGGCCCTTCCAGCGACGCACCATCCTCGAAGACAGGACCCTCTGGCTTGGCATTGGCCACATGTGGAGACTCGGTCAAAGACAGCACCCGAAGGACGCCGGGTCGATTCAATACAGCCCATTCGGCTTCGTCGGAGGCCCTGAACTGCTCGCGCCCCTCAGGGTTCAGGTGGCCCACCTTGACCTCGCCACCCTTGGAAGACAGGATGTTCCAACTGCCGACGCTGTCCTCTGTGCAGACATACACCAGGTCCTCGGTGCCGTTGGCGCATCTAGCGGCAGTGCCACTCCATCCCTGATCCTGGAACCAAACTCGAATGACTCGCAGTAGGCACTCAGAAGCTCCTCGTCGGAAACTGCGTGGGAGTCGACTGCCATCCCCCCAAGAGTCCCGGGGCTGCGCCCAACGGTCCGATTCCTCGATGCGTTGACGAGCTCCGTCGGGGGCACGAGGTATGAGCTCAACTGGATCGTGGAGGGCTGCACCGCGGAAATGCGCTGCGAGAGACCTCCCGAACTGGATCGGAGATTTTCAGGCCTGATAACCAGCCCCTGCTGGGCTGTCCCGACTTTTCTGGTTGTCTCGGCGCCCCTGGCGCCCACGACCCCCGGCGACCTCGAGACGCTTCACCTCGGAATCGACGCCCCCCGCGTCCGAGGGCGCCGGGGAGATGTCCGAGGCCTTCCGCGAAGACACCTCCGAGGCTCCAGGGGGCGTCGGTTCAGCCGCGGGCTCAGAACCCCGTCTGGAAGCAGCCGTCCCTGGGCCACCTGCCGAGCGAGATGCCCTCGAAGCTGAGTCGGGAGCCGGAGCAGCCTGTCCTCCGCGGAACGAAACTATGTTCCTCCTCAGGAACAGACACCAGCCGCGAGACAGGCCCGGGTGCCCACACAATGCGTCGATCGCCTGGGGGCCGATGAACAACTGTCGGAGATCCTGTCGCGCGGGGCCCAGAGGTGCCGGTCGAGCTAGATGATGCTACGGAGGAGGCTGGTGGTGGTGGTGTCCTGGGAATCTCACTCCTGGCAGGTTCCGAGACGTCAGACTCCTCTCTCGGGCGGGCCTCCGCTGGGGGCTCTAGAGGCCCAGGCCCGGGGTCCGATACAGGAGATGGTGACCCATGTACCTCGGGCTCTCGATCGGGAACACTAAGAGGATCATCTACAACTTCGGGACCTGATTGAAGACCTCCCTGAGCATCTGAGAGAGGCACTGCCTGGGCTTCTGGAGGAGGGGGACCTTCTGGAGATACGTCTACTGCACTGCCCGAAATTCCCTTGGCGAAGCCCCTGGAGAGGACCGATCGGTAGGTATGCCGAAGACTGGATTAGTTCTGATCCCAAAGACTCCGACTGTGTAGCTGGGCGCATCTGCTCACTGCTGCACTTCCAGAGCTTGCTCCTCATCCCAACCCAGACGGTAGTGCCCTGATGGTAGATCACCGAACCTGGACCAACCCACCTGTCGCGTTGGAGCCCAAAGGGTTTCTTGCCAGAGGACGGGGCCCTGCGCCACACCTACACCCAATCTCCTGGTTGGCGGGCACGGTCACGACGCCGCGCCAAGCGTAGAGCGAGACTGAGTTTACTCCGAGCATCTCCTTCCGTCGCCAGCTCCCCGACCCCGGTGCGAATGGCGCACTGATTGCGAAAGGCTGCCGCGGCGCTGTCTAAATCACCACTCGCCCCCAAAAAATCAAACAAACCAATGCAATCTAGGGGGCCCTCTAAAAGCAGCTCGCGAGGCAATCGAGGGTTCTAACCAAATACCCACTGCGGCGGAGAGAATCCGCCTCTGTCGAGGAAGCGGCTTCGCCAAGCCGCGAGCTCGCAGGCTGCATGCTCCAACTCACGCGGACTGTTCAGACACCTCTTCGACGAACCGTTGGAAACGCCCCTTCAACCACTGGCCTGCCCGCTGTCTCCCCGTTCTGCCAGGGGCTCTCGGCGTCAGTCACGCGATGCTAGGATCCTGGCTGATCTGCAGAACGATCGAACTCTGCTTCGAACTCCGCACCTCCGTCCGACACGATCACTTTTGGCGGACCGCAGCGGCGAAGCCATCCTGTAGCCAACACCTGCCAGAATAGACCCAGCTGCGAACAACGACCTACACCAACAAGACCAGCCCACTGGAGAGACAGACCTAGGCACACAACGTCGAAGAACGATAGATCTGCTGACGGCACGCGACATTGAACAAATTGACGCCGGTGATTTTGTTGAAAGGCACACGCGCTGGGAGCACAAGTCCGACGTTGAAAGATGGAGCGAAGGGAACTGAAGCAGGCCTAGCACTCGAAGTGCTTCTGCACGCACTGTAATATTGGGTTCCAACGTGGGTATGTTAGTATAGAGAGGGTCATGAAACAAACGTTGCAACACATATTCTGCGCATCTGTGCACATGCGGTCTGGCAGATCGGGGCGGCATCATCGCGACGCCAAGGGGCGTCGCGGACTCGAGCCTTTGGCCTGGAAGCACGAAGCGCACGATTACCCACATCACGAAGTTTTGCAACCAGTCACTGTGCTCCGGGGGTGCGCGGACACGCAAAACACTGTTCAACTAATCGTTAGCTGGCGCCCGCCTCGAACTCATGCCCCATCCCCCGCCTCTTCCAAATATCCCTTCGCTGCGGCCCCGCCCTCCTCATGCCCCTCCGATTGCCCTGGTCCTCATCGCGCCCTTCATCCACATTGCCCCCCCCCCCCCCCCATGCGTCAATTCACGTCGTCGTTCGTCGTCGTCCTCCTGCGCCGGATTCGTTCCCCCATCGCCCACGCGCCTGCCCCCCCCCATCCTCTACGCCCTAGTGCACATCATGCCCCCAACCTCCCCCCCCCCACCTCCCTCGCCCTCGCGACGCTGACGCCGATGATGCAGATCGCCCTGGGCTCTCTTCCTCCGCTCTCGCCCAGCCCCGTTCATCCTTGGCCCCTCGGCCACCCCTCCTATCGAACCCCTTCCTTCCCACAGCCCACCACCCCCACCCCCCGCGCCTTTGCATGCCCAGACCACGCCCCCCTCCTGGACCAGCCAGGAGACCCGCGGAATCTCCCGCCCAGTGACCACTCCAGCGAGAGGCGCGCAACAAATGCACAGTTAGAGACACGAACTGTGCATTTCGACCGCGCACGACGCCGCCCCTGGACCAGCCGGAAGAGAAGCGCGAAAGTTCCCGCCCATTCAACACCACCTGCGATGGAGCGCACTCCAAATACACCGATGGGAACGAGATCTGCGCACGCAGATCACACCACGATCTGTGTAAACAGCGGGCCCACACACGAAAATACACAGTTGAAGACACAAACTGTGTACACAGATCACACCTTGATCTGTGCATTTCGAAAAGGTGAACGCTCGCCACCTCGAGGGCGCCCCGACTTTGCCAACCCAGAACCGAAGTCGACGCGCCCAGCTGGGGGGGATGCAAACACGCACTTCCCTGGCCAAGGGCGCCCCCGAGAGAGCCGCAAATACACGTTTCCCTGGCCCAGGGCGGCCGCGGTGCAACGCGGCGCCAAAGCGGCCCCCAACGGCCCGAAGACGCCCCAAGAGGCCTCGAAGGACCCCAAAGAATGCCGCGCAGCAATCCGAAAACACGGGAGATGTCACATGTCAAGGACCTCTTAACAGTCAAAGCTCCACGCGTCGCCATATAGATCACTGCTCTGGCAAGGGGGGCGGGCCATGCCGCAGGCACCTATAACTTACACGTTAGCGATGCGACTGTGCTCGGCGGCCGTGCCGCCCGCATTTTGGGCGCGCCCCGTACTCTCGCACTGGCAGTCCCCTCTGTTTGGTTGCGCCGCTGTGCTCGGATATCGAAAAACATTTACCGCTGACGCGGGCACGCGGCGCCAGGGACTTCACTTGTCGAACAAGGCGGGCGGGCGAGGTAGGACGACGGATGGCGGAGCAGGGAGGCAAAGAGGAACGAGGAATAATGAGGGGGGTGGGAAGGGGCGCTCCCCCGCCCGAGCCGAGGACGCCTTCGACGCCATCCAGGGGAGGTAGAAAAGGAAGGGGAACGGAGAAGGGGCGAGGACGACGACGGGAAGCAAAGTGTCCTGGGTCCGCATATAGCCATACGTCTGCGCTTCGGGCGCGCGCGCTTTCTTCGAGGCACTTCAAGCCGGACCCATGCTGAATTCACTAATTCCTCAAAACTGTGTAAACACTCTGTCCTCTGTTCCCTCTCCTATACAACGGCCTCATAACAGAGGGGCAGTGGATTCCAACTGTAATACCTCAGAGCGTGCACGTGCGCTGCGTAGAATACGTTGTAGATCACGATTCGTGGGATGTCCTAGGCTTATGCGCGCCATCCACACCATCTTCATTTGCTCCTGGGTAAGCACGGTCTCCACGATGTCCGGCGTTCCCTCGGAATCTCCAGCCCCCCCAAACACTCCTCGTCGTCTCCCGCCGGCCCACCGACCCAGGATGATTGCAGGTCCGCGTCGCACAGGAGTGCGGGGTAGGTAGAAGCGAGGGAAGTCTCGACAAAGTTACACTCTTTCTCGATCCGTGCTGATCTCAGTACTGCTTTGGGCACGGTACGACAGAACTTGTCAGGATACACGGCGGCCCTCGACGCGGCCCAGCCCCCGACCAACAACGCACGCCTGCGATCGCCCCTGAACCTCCTCTGGGAAAGAGCCCGGAGCAACACCAGATCATTGAACAAGATACTCGCGAGCTTCTTCGAGAGCGACTCGCCCTTGACACGGAAACCAAACATGCATATATCGAAGGATACCTCCTGAACGCCAGCCTGACTGCGCAGCCACTCGGCACTGCGCAAGGGAGGTGAGCGAGTCCGTCGGGGCTGCTCGACCGCAAACATCGGCCCCTGAGAGACCTGCGCGGCAGTAACCTCCAGCGCAAATCCCCACGGGGCCACGGCCTCGGCACGCTTGGCGGCTAACCAGCGGGGGGTCCTGGCGGTCTTTGTTAGAGGCGGAACGCACGCTGAACCCTGTGCAAGGTGGACAAAGAAACAAACCACGGCTTCCAACCATCGATCAAGCTCCTGGAAAGCTGGCAGCGTTTGGATAGCCTGAAAGCCCAACCTGCCCCCAGTAGGGGCTCTACCAAGACGAGACGCATGAGGCCCAATGCGAGGAGGGGCGAAGATATCAATGAAGTCCTGTTGGGAACCAGCGCCCAGAGCACCGCGCCCAAGCCTGTTGAGAGCCTTGCGGAGAGACCTTAGGGTTCCATTGCGTACCGGCGCGTTCTTCAGGCCCTGCGCAGGCCAAAGTGTCATCTGCGTTCTCGGCCTCCAGCAGGCAGCCCACAAGAACATGCAGCATACGGTCCCAAGATCCCAGGGAAGGAACGTAGACGCCAGTGGTGTAGATGATGTCGTTGAACAAGATGCCGCGGCCGATGGTGCTGTAGGTGATGATGGAGAATGAAGTCATAGATGACGCGGCATTGGCCGATGACGACGTCATGGGCGATGATGGCGCGGGCAGCTCCTCAGCACTCACTTTTTGCAAGCACAAGTCATTCTCCCCAGAGCTAAAAGAGTAGCATGGGTCGGCCTTGCTCGCCCGAAGCTCGCTGCTCCACAGTCCGCGATGGCGACTGGCGGCCCGAGGTAGCTGCATCCAGCGACACCCTGGAAGCTTGCTCGCTCGCTTGAAATCTATGGATGCCGCGGGAGATGCCCGCCTCAGATGGAGCGGGGACTCGGCGACGACGCGCCCAGCTCGAACTCCCCCTGCGTCGGGCCCCCCTGGCCCTGGCGCGAGGAGGAAGCCGGGGCTGGACTCGCAGGCGCATCTGGCGCGGGAAGCATCGGCACATCTGCCGGCTGCTGACTGCTGGAAAGGCGTTCAGACGATCGTTCACCGACCGCATCTCGGACACCAGGGGGGCCATCGAGGTGGCCATGTTCTGCGACTGAGCCTGTGGAGTAGCCTGGATGGCGCTCGTCACGTTTGCAGACACGCTCGCCGACATGGGCTGCACAGCCTCCTGCATCATCGCCACCGCCCAGCCCGGAGGAAGAGAGTGGCTCGACAGGCTGCTCCACTGATCCCCTGACGCCGCAGAGCGAGCTGCGGGCCTCGCGGCTGGCACAGCGCTCCGAGGGGCCGCGTGTCGCACGGGACCTGCCAACTGTCCATGAAGTAGCGCGAACTCCTGGATCGTCATCCCGCGGCTGCCGTTGTCCGCGTTGATCTTGGGGCGGTCGGCGACTCGTATCTGGCAGCTCGATCGGAAGTCCCGCGGAGCGCACTGGTTCCCTGAGCTCGAGGTTCTCCATGGTAGATGGGTGCATCTCGCCCAAGCTCTGGTTTGAGTCTCCAGCAGCGGCTTCGAGTCCTCGAGCAGTCGCTTCTTGTGGTTCTTGGTGTCGAAGAGCCGCGCGTCCTCAGCGAGCCTCGAGATCTCGGCCCTGGCCCCGTCGAAGTAGGCACCCACCGAGACCGCGAGGGCCGCCCAGCGCCCCGCGACCGCGCGAGGCACGCGCGCACTCACGGTAGCCTTTTTGAAACATGACATCCCAAATTAACGCTGGATTAGTGCGACTGCCGTCGAAGGAGAATGCCGCGCCGCCTGCTGCAGACACACTCCATTACCTTTCTGACGGGTCTCCTTCGGCTTGGATGGGTTATTGCACTAGGCGCGCCAGCGGCCCGCCCCCCCCCCCCCCCGCAATTGCCGCACTTCGTGACTAGCTCGAGCTGCGCCGGCGCGAGTCGGCGCCTGCGCTTCCAGTAGCCGCGATCTTTTTGGGCAGCATTCTTCAGGTCTTTGTTATCCTCCCAGGTCATCTGGCGGCCCTTTCCCATCTGAGCCAGCGCCCCGCTGACCGCATCCTCGCTGAGGTCCCGTCCGCTGAGCTCCACCAGGATGCCGAGCTCGCCATCGGAGTCCAGCTAGTCGGCCCACCAGGACCATGCCACCTCTGGAGGCTCGATCTCGCCGTCACCGATCTCGCTGCTAGACTTGGCGCTGCTGGGCTCGAGAAGGCTGCTGCGAGACTTGGGATCGTCTCCCCGGGCAAGGCCGCCCGTGTCCAGTTGAGGAAGAGCCCACATGATGTCGGGCCCCAGCAGAGAGCCCCTGGTGAGACTCCGAACATTCTGCTTACCTTGGGCAGACACCCGAGCACCCTGGAGGAGTAACATGCCCTGCACCTTGGGCGGGATATCCACGCCGATCTCTCTGGCGCGCTCGAACTGCCTGCGCCGGCGTGTCACACATGCTAGCAGGTCCTCGTCCTTCTTCCGTTCGATGTCTCTGGTGGCCTCGTTGCCCACCCTGAAGACTTCGTCGTCCTCTCTCCTTCCAGCTTCCTGTCCAAGGTAATGCACGATCCGACCCAACGAGAGGTCCTGCTCAGGAATGTACTGCAGTTTGGCTCGTAGGTCCCAGGGCAACTCTTCCGGTAGTCGGTCGGTGCACTGGGCCTCCGAAAGCCAAGAGTTGCGCCTCCATCTGGTCGCGTACTGCTTCCACAACCTGGATGTTCTACTTCTCTTTCCAGCCTCCGGCCCAAGAGGCCCGGCCACCGGGTTGCCAAGAGCTGCCCTGCCATCGGCTCTACGGTGGGACGTCGGTCTGCTCAGCGCCCTTGTCTCGGCGCTGGGCTCTCTCATCGAGGGAGGCGTGCAGCTGTCATCTCTCACTGGTGTTGGATCCTGGTCGCGTGCCTCCAACGTCCTTAGCTCCTCTGTGTCGTGAGGCGATCTAGTCCAGACCTGCCTTGTCCAGCCGCCCGCTGACCACGTCGAGGCCCACGGGTCATCCTGCCACAGCAGGTTTTGTCCGTGCTCGTACCACGTGTAGGATGGTGCTGGAGGTTATGCTCTCTGATCGCTCAGGTCTGGTGCAGCTTGTGTTGGAGGAGGGCACCACGGTATTGATCTTGCTGCTGCTACTGCTGAAGCCGGTGCTGCTGTTGCTGGTGGGCTGCTCTGATCGCCCCTCAGCATCTCAACCACTCGACTTGCTATCGAATCGAGGTCTTGCCTCGAGAGCCCTTCTGACATGAGCGTCTGCCGTCGGTCTCACGCTTCGCACCCCTGTCGTCCGTCCAATCCCCGTAGGTCCGTGGATCGCCTGGCCCGCTAGCTGCGCCGTACAGCACCTGGTGCTGCTGCAGCCTGCGGCCCTGAACCCCGCTCCGTTGCCACTGTTGGCACGCGGGGGTCGGGCGGACAATCGCGAAGCTCTGCCCTATCTGCTTCTCGCTCTGAATCAGAAAGCCTTGGGCCATATCAGCAATGGTAAAACAAAACGCATACGCAAGTGCACAAGATAACATTGCAAGTGCAAGCAACACGGACAGACAGAGAGAGGGTGCAGAAACATGTGTCAACACCCCGTAAGGGAGGGCTTGATCTTGATCAGGACCACGATCGACGATTGAAAGGACATCACTGAGGCCTTCACCACCGAGGCCATAGCCGAGGCCACAGACCCCGCCGTCAAACATCCTGGTGACAAGATGGCGCCCATGGTCATGCAGGCTGTCGGCCACCACGAGATCCGGCAGCAGATGGTCCGCAAGGTAGGGCCCTCTGGCGCCATCAAGGTACTCCTGACCGCCTACGACTACTACGAGGACACAAGGCCCGGATACCACAGGGCTAGCGGCCGAGGCCATGCGCAGCCGCAGAACTGCCATGGCGCCAGGTAACCATGCCAGCCAGCAGCGGCGAGAGCGAATACGGCGACAAGGACGGCATCGCACGCAGGTGCGACGACATCTTAAGGCAGAGTCCTACGACCTGGCCGATAAGACGATTCGGGACATCCCTAGACGCCGACATGGAGTAGCGCCTCAGCGCGGCGAAGGGCAAGAAAGGCAAGAAGGGCAAGAGCAAGTATGGCAAGGGCAAGAGCAAGGCAAGAATCGGCAGGGGCAAGCTGGCCACGCCGAGCAGAGGAACGAGAAGGGGTCGACCTGAACCACGTGCCTACTGAATCGACCCGCGCCTACCGCGTCTCCGCGGCGCAGGTGACGAGAGCCGCGGTCGTTAGCATCGGTACCACAGTGGACGCCTACGGTTGCAGCTACGGCGAGGTACACTGGGGGGCCCGACCCCACCAATCCCCCACTCTACCTCAAACCTCCCTCACAGCAGGACGCAGGAAGGACAGGTGGTCCACTCTTCCCCCCCATCTCAGAGACGCTTACAACCACGGAAACCAGCGGGGCTTGCGGCGGCACGGCTTCGGATTGGAGACCTGCGGAGTCAGGGTGCGGCACTGGAGGAGGAGGAGGAGGAGGAGGAGGAGGAGGAGGGGGAAGAGGAGGAGGACGACGAGGAGCAGGACGAGGAGGACCAGGACGAGGAAGGCAGTCCTGAAAGAACATCCCGATGATCGCCATCATCGCCAGGCGCCCGTTCGCGAGCTCGGCCCTCAGTTTCTTCTGCTTCGTCTCGGGCTCAGTCGACGTGATGGCCTCCCCCGCTGTTCATCCCGCTATAGTTCATGCCTCCTCTGGCTTCCACCTCATCCAGCTCCTCCTCCTCCTCATCCTACTCCTCCTCCTCCTCCCCCTCATCCTCCTACTCCTCCTCCTCACCCTCCTCCTCGTCGTCGTCATGTTCCCTCCTCCCCGACATCTTGCTCCTGCTATTTTTGTTCCTCTTCCTCCTCCTCCTCCTCCTCCTCCTCCTCCTGCTCCTCCTCCTCTTCCTCCTCTTCTTGCCCCTCTTCCGCCTCATCTTCCTCCTCCCCCTCTTTCCTCCTTGCCCCAATCATCATCATCATCATCATCATCATCATCATCATCATCATCATCATCATCATCATCATCATCATCATCATCATCATCATCATCATCATCATCATCATCATCATCATCATCATCATCATCATCATCATCATCATCATCATCATCATCATCATCATCATCATCATCATCATGATCATCATCATCATCATCATCATCATCATCACCACCACCATCACCATCACCACCACCGACATCGTCAGCACCATCAGCATCACCATCATCATCATGACCACCTTCCTGATCCTCATTAGAATCATCAACATCGTCACACATTCATCACCATCATCACCATCATCACCGTCATCGTCAGCATCGTCATCATCATCGTCGTCATCGCCATCATCGTCATCACCATCATCGTCGTCATCCACCACGTCACCACCATTATCCGCATCATCATCAGCAGCATCATCATCGTCATCATCGCCTCGCAGAATAATCAACATCCTTGTCGTCCTCCTCCAATTCCCCGTGAACCTCTTTTCCTTCCCCCAGACCTCCGACGGATTGACTTTTTCATTCTCTGAGCTCCGCAAGTTTCGACGGAGTCCCCGCGAGCAACTCTTCGCCTCGTGTCTTTGTCGAATGACCACTGGGACCGAAAAAGCGGCGCTCAGGGGCCGAAGCTCGTGGAAAAAGCTTGATTGCCAAAAACAACTCTTCGGAAGTCTGGGCCGATCCCTCCCTCCTCCTCCTGCTCAGGTCTGGTCTGGTCGTGCACACCCAAGTAGGGCGCGTTGTGCCAATCCCCTGGGCAAAGGGCAGGCCTGACTCCGTCCTAGTTCGGGTTCTGGCAGTGGGGCAAGTGCCTGCGCGCGTGCCCGCACTGCGGAGGCCGGGTCTCGCAGCTGTGACACAGTGTTCTGGGACCCCGCAGCGCCGCGCCTGCCTCCTCACCCATTGGAAGCGCGTAAATGCGGGGCGCCACTGCGTTTATACTCACCCTCCTGCTCCTCACCATACCATCCATCTCCCTTCTTCTCCCGACGTCCCTCCGGCACTCTCGACATCCATCGCCAATCCCCATCTCTTCCTTCGCTCCGCGATCCCGTCGGCGCGGCCTGCGCACGCCGGGGTCTGCCATGGAGTGAGCTGATTATGCTCCAAAGTCTTCCTCCTTCTCCTCCTTCTCCTGCTCCTCGTCCTCCTCCTCCTCCTCCTCCTCCTCCTCCTCCTCCTCCTTCCTCCTTCTCCCCCTTCTCCTCCTCCTCCTCTCCGATTTCCCTCCCCGTGCTGCAGCACGGGACAAACTCCTCCCTCCTTGCTTCCTTCCCTCCTTGACTCGACCCACCCTCCTTCACTCCCTCCCTCTACTACACGTCCGCCTCCGCCGCCTCCTCCGACGCTTCTTCCTCGTTCCCCTCCTCCTCCTCCTCCTCCTCCTCCTCCTCCTCCTCGTCCTCTCTTTCCACCTCATCATCATGCGCACGATCATCATCATCATCATCATCATCATCATCATCATCATCATCATCATCATCATCATCATCATCATCATCATCATCATCATCATCATAATCATCATCATCGTCAGCAGCAGCAGCAGCATCAGCATCAGCATCAGCATCATCATCAGCCTCATCATCATCATCATCATCGTCATCATCATCGTCATCGTCATCGCCATCGTCATCATCATCATCATCATCAGCATCAACAACAACAACATCATCATCACAATAACCATCACCATCACCTTAACCGTCACCACCAGCCTCATCATCATCATCACCATCATCACCATAATCACCATCGTAACCATCATCGTTACCATCACCGTCACCACCACCACAGTCATCATCAACATCATCATCATAATCATCATCATCATCACAACCATCATCATCAGCATCATCAGCATCATCAACACCATCGTCATGTTTCATCATCATCATCACAGTCCTCCTCCTCCTTCCCCTCCCTCTTCTCCTCCTCCTCGTCCTCCTCCTCTTCAACTCCATCGTCAGCATCATCAACAACAATAGCTTCATCAGCAGCAGAGACAGCATCAGCATCATCAACATCATCATCCTCATCATCATCATCATCATCATCAGCATCATCATCATCATCATCATCATCCTCAACGTCACCATCATCATCAGCATCAGCAGCAAAATCATCATCCTTTCCCACACCATCACCATCACCATAATCATCATCACCGTCATCATTATCAGCATCATCAGCATCGTCATCACCCTCATCGTCGTCATCCTCCTCATCATCATCACCAGCACAATCAGCATCGCCATCTCAACCAGCAGCATCATCATCAGTACCATCAGCAGCATGCCGATCCTCATTATCCTCCTCATCATAGCCATGAGCAGCAACAGCAACAACATCATCATCGTCAGCATCATCATCATCATCCTCATCATCAGCATCATCATCAACACCAACAGCAGCAGCTTCAGAAGCAGCAGCAGCATCTTAGTAATCATCATCGTCATAATCACCATCGTCATCAGCAGAGCAGCATTAGCAGCAGCAGCGGCAGCATCATCATCATGAGTATCATCATCACCGTAATCATAAGCATCCGATTCATCATCATCAGCAGCAGCATCAACAACAGCATCAGACGCAGCGTCATCACCATAATCGGCATCATCATCACCATCATCATCACCATCATCAGCATCAAAATTCATCATCATCATCATCAACATCATCATCATCATCATCATCATCATCATCATCATCATCAACATGATCGACAACATCATCAGCATCGTAATCATCAGCATCATCAGCATCATTACAATCGGCATCATCAGCATCATGACCATCATCAGCAGCATCATCGTCAGCAGCATCGGTCGCATCATAATCATCGTCACCTCATCATCATCAGCAGCATTATCATCATCAGCATCATCATAATCGTCATCACCACCACCATCGGCAACATGATCAGCATCATCATCATCATCATCATCATCATCATCATCATCACAAGCATCATCATCATCACCAGCAGCAGCAGCAGCAGCAGCTTGAGCAGCAGCAGCATCATCATCAACATCCTCATCATCAGCCGCATCATCATTGTCAGCTTCGGAATCATGATCCTCAGCTACATCAAGGCAAAATCAGCAACGTCAGCAGCATCATCATCAGCATCATCATAATCATCGCCGTCGCCGGAATAATCATCATCATATCATCAGCATCAAAATCATCACCACCATCAGCATCACCATCAGCGTCGTGATCGTCATCATCACCACACTTATCATCATCAGCAGCATCAGCATCATCATCAGCATGGTTACCATCATGATCAGAGTCAGAATCCGCATCATCTTTTCCGTAGTCATCACCTTCATGATCATCGTCGTCGTAACCAACAACATGATCATCATCATCATCATCATCATCAGCAGCAGCACAATCATCATATGCAACACAATCATTATCATCATCCTTATCAGATCATCAGCATCATCATCATCATCATCAGCATCAGCATCAGTCGCATCGTCATCATCGTCATCAGCATCATCATCATCTTCCTAGTCATCAGAAACGTTCTGATCAACCGCATTATCACGAACAGTGGCAGCAGAATCGTCATCATCGTCATTATCGGCAACGCTCCTCTTCCTCCTGGGTATCCTCCCCCACCTCCGCATCCTCTTCCTCTTCCTCCACATCCTCCTCGAACGCTCATCCTCATCCCCCATCCACCACCTCCATCCCTCCCTCCCTCGCTCTTGCCATCCGACATCTGTTCATCGTCATCCCCGGCGGTTTCTCTCACACTCCCCATCATCAGCCCCCTCCAAACCCTCCTCCGCTAGCTCCTCCTCCACATCCTGATCATCATCCCCGTCATCAACACCATCATCATCATCATCATCATCATCATCATCATGATCATCATCATCACCATCATCATCACCATCAGCATCATCATCAGCAGCACCACAACCATCATCGTCATCATCAGCATTACAATCGTCATCATCAGCAGCAGCATCAGCATCAGCATTGGCATTATCATCATAAGCATCAGCAGAAGCATCAGCATCAGCGTCGTCATCATCATCATCATTATCAGCAGCATCGTCGTCATCATTATCATCATTACCAACAACAACCAACCAGCCAACCAACCAACATCATCATAAGCAGCATCACAATCATCAGCAGCATCAACATCGTCACCGTCCTCAGAAGCAGCAGAACCATCAGCATCAGCATCAGCATCAGCATCAGCATCACCATCATCATCAAAATCACAACCACCACCATCATCATCATAATCATCCATCAGCAGCATCATTATCAGCATCAGCATCGTCATCATCATCACCACCAACAGAATCGTCGCCAACATCATCATCAACATCAGCAGCAGCCGCAACGCAGCATCGTCACCATCATCATCATCGTCATCGCCATCGTCAGCATCATCACCATCACCCGCCTCATCCTAAACATCATCATCCTCATCAGCATCATCATCGTCATCATCAGCATAATCAGCATCCGCATCAGCATCAGCACCAGCATCATCATCAGCAGCAGCATCATCATCAGCATCATCATCATGATTGCCATCATCATCATCATCATCATCATCATCATCATCATCATCATCATCATCAGCAGCAGCAGCAGCAGAAGCATCGTCATCACCACCATCACCCAAGATATGCGCAGCCTCCTCTGACTCCGCCTCATATTCCTCCTCCTGATCATCCTCCTCGTCCTCCGCCTCCCCATTCGCCTTCGACTAATATACATCTCCGTCATCACCAGCATCATTCCTGGTTCCCTCACTCGCCTCCCCAACCCCCCCTTCCCCCATCCCCCACCCGCTCCCCCCCCCCCCCCCAACCCCCCACCCGCACCTCCCCCGTCCCTCCCCCACCCCTCATCCCCCCCCCCCCACCCCCACCCAACGCACCCCCGCCGATCTTCGGTGTCCTCCTCCTCCGCCTCCGCATCATCCTCTTCATCAAACGCCCTCCGCCTCCGCTGAATCATCATCCTCCGCCAGTCGGCCAATCATTCCGTCCTGTCGCTCGTCCGACCGTCATCCCCCAAACTTCCGCTCCTGCTCCTGCTACGCCTCATCATCCTCCTCCTCCTCCTCATCCTCCTCCTCATCCTCAGCATTATCATCATAATGATCACCACCACCACCACAACAACATCACCACCCCCTCCACCCCCTCCTCCTCCTCCTCCTCCTCCTCATCATCATCATCAGCAGCATCACCATCATCACCACCACCACCACCAGCATCATCATCATCATCATCATCAGCAGCATCATCATCGTCCTGAACATAATCATCCTCATCAGCATCAGCATCAGCATAAGCGTCAGCAGCATCATCATCAACATCATCAGCAGCATCATCATCAACATCATGACCATCACAACACCATCATCATCAGCAGCATCATCATCACCAGCACCACCATCATCATCACCATCACCACCACCACCACGATCATCATCAGCATCATCAGCATCAGCATCATAATCGTCGTCATCATCATTAATCGTCATATCATCATCAGCAGCATCATCAACATCACCATCATTATCATCGTATTCATCATCAGCATCATCAATCAGCAGTAGCATCATCATCAGCAGCAGTATCAGAATCATCACCAGCATCGTCAGCATCATCATCGTCATCATGATGCTCCTCATCCTCCTCCTCCTCCTTCTCTGCATCCTCCTCGCCGTCGGCGTCCTCAGCACCATTGACAGAAGCATCAGCATCAACAGCATCATCATCATCAGCATCATCCGCATCGTCAGCGTCGTCATCATCATCAGCCTCATCATCATAGTCATCATCATCATCATCATGTCCATCGTCGTCGTCGTGGACATCGGCAGTGTCATCACCAGCATCAGCATCATAATCATCATCATCATCATCATCATCATCGTCATCACCACCATCATCATCATCAGAATCATCAGCATTATCCTCATCATATTTGTCGTCATCGGCATCATCATCAACCTCCTAATCATCATCACCATCAGTATCATCATCATAATCAGTATCATCAGCAGCATCATCATCGTCATCATCACTATCATCGCCATCGTCATCACCACCACCACCACCGCCAGCGCCAACACCACCATTATAAGTAGCATCACCATCATCGCCAGCATCAGCATCATCCTCGTCATCATTGCCAGCATCAACCATCTACATCACCGTCGTCATCATCATCATCAGCAGCATCGTCATACTAATCAGTATAATCAGCAGCAGCAGCATCATCAACAGCGTGGCATCGGCACCCTCAGCATCGTCGTCACCCTCATCATCAATTCCCGCAAACGGCCTCCCTCATCCTCGTCCTCCCCAATTTTCATCCTCCTCCTCATCCATTCCTCCTCATACTCCTCCTCGTCCTCCTCCTCCTTCTCCTCCGCCTC